AGACCCTGTCTCTACTAAAAATAGAAAAACTAACCAGGTGTTGTGGTTGGAGCCTATAGTTCCAGCTACTCATGAGGCTGAGACAAAAGAATCACTTGAGCCCAAGACTTTAAGGTTGCTGTGAGCTATGGTGACACCACGGCACCCTACCAGGGTGACAGAGTAAGACTCCATCTCAAAAAGAAGAAAAAGTAATAAAAGATTGTTAAGGCTTTTTTTTTTAATGTTTTCTTATTATAAAAGAAAAGCAAGCAACACAGAACTAGTGGGATATGTGACATTATATCTGAGAAACTAAAGCCTCAGGATCTGGCTGGATGAAGTAGTCACAATTCTCAGGGAGCTCTCAAGGTGCTCATCAGATATTTTGGTTCTAACTTTACTCTTAATATGCTTCATTCTTAAAAATAGTTCCTTATGGCCAGGCTCAGTGGCTCACACCTGTATCCTAGCACTCTGGGAGGCCGAGGCAAGTGGATTGCCCGAGCTCATGGGTTCGAGACCAGACTGAGCAAGAACAAGACCCTGTCTCTAAAATAAAAAAACTAGCCGAGCATTGTAGTGGGTGCCCATAGTCCCAACTACTCGAGAGGATGAGTCAGGAGAATCACTTGAGCCCAAGAGTTTGAGGTTGTTGTGAGGTATGATTCCATGGCACTATATCAAAGGCAACAAAATGAGACTCTGTCTCAAAAAAAAAACCAAAATTACATCAAAATTAAAATTAAAAAAAAGAAAGAAAATAGCAGGTGCTGTGGCTATTTCCAGGATTTGTCAGCCTCTCCCCCCCTTGGTACTCCACCCGCTCCTATAGAGCCTGTTCACATTGACTGACCAGAGTCTGCAAATTCTCTGCTCCAATCCCATCCGACCTTCCCCCACCCCTGCTTTCTATTTTTGTAAACCCTAAGAATAATATCCCTGCATCAATTTTTACTAGACCAAATCCCCTGTCATGCCTGGAACAAGGGTCATAGCCAAATTGCCCTTAGCCCCAATAATCACGAAGGGCACATCTATTAAAAAAAACAGGAGGCTTGGCGCCTGTGGCTCAAGCGGCTAAGGCGC